AGTGAATTAATAATCGCACTTATGTTGATATTAAGGTTTACATTTTTTTCTTTATTTCTCAAAAAATTTTATTCTTAAAACACATATTCTGTTGAAGCAGTTTCATAAAAAGTTTTATTTTGTAAAGTCTCTCTGTATGATTTTCTTCCGGAATTTAAAATGAAAGCATACATTTCTGGTTTAAGCAGTGCTTTTCTGCATAGAACAAGGGAATATAGATTCAATGATGGACCTGCTAAGTGTTTAGGAGCTTAATTCATTGTTATATTTCAGTGTATTGATAGTCTGTAAAAGAGTATCAGGAGGTATAAGTTGGATTCTGGTCATGAATTGTGCTGTGAACTCACCCTACATTTTACATGAAACATCCTCAGGTAACATTGCTTTCCAAAGTGGAAAGTCTCATCATATTGAAAGTAACAGGGCCACTCACATTTCCTCTTAATAGCTACAGTGACTGAGTTTCCTGTTCCTGCTGTTGCTTTCAGGCGTCAGTTCCAGCCGGCGTTTAGCCCACAAGAGTCCATTAGTCAAGACAGAATGGAAACCGCACCTGCTCCTGCTGTGGAGTTCAGTCCAAACAACCCTGGTGTCTACTCTGATAACAAGTAGGTATTATTCTTTCTTTGCTATTTTGTTTGCTCTTAAAAAAAAAACACAATAAGGTATTGAGAGGCAAATGTGTCTTTTTGTCTTTTAGTAACACAACTAACAACATGGAGCTCGATTTTGACTCTCTTCTCCACGCGCCTCTGAGTAATTCAATCTTCTCTGATCAATAGAAGGAACACTTGTTTTTGGATTCCAAAAGGAAACTTCAAACAGTTGCCAAACTGATCCGTCAGGCCTTCATATGGAAAAAAGTTTGTGCAGACCTTCTTCCTTCACTTTTATCAGCCATCTACAGCTTTTTCTACTTTAGAACAAAAACCCTGTCTGGGACAAACTCTCTATATGTTGAGCTGGTGCTACATGAAACTAGGACATCAAAGTCAATGCTGAAGTAAAAATCGGAACAAGCCAGAAAGAAGTCGACCATCTTTGTTTTACAACCTTTTCTCTCCCTCTCACATTGTTCTAAGTTTATTGATGCCAATTTCCTGATTGGTAATACTACAATCTATGCTAAACATGCCCCCCCTGTTGTAGCTAACCATTCCATTCAATTCAAAAGCCTTGCTAAGCTTTATTGTAGTTTCATGGATGCGTGCGGATCGAGTTAAGGATGCATGATATGCATGATAAAATGTATTAAAATGTTAGTGAGTCTTATCCATCCTGACTCCTGAGGTCAAGTATAGACTGATTCCTACGGACTGTTTGTGGGCGCTGCCATCTTTTGATGGCGGCCATTACTGCGGTGGCCTCATAGTTAGATTCAAAACGTCTGACAGATGCTGATGAGGAGATCTTAATATTATTTAGATTTTCAATGTTAGACATCTTTTACAGCAACGACCTGATGATATAACAGAGAAAAAGATAAAAAACAACCAGCCGCCACATTATATGTGATAACATGCTATGTAATATAACGTTTTTCTACAAGCTAGTTAGCTTCATTCATCACATGCTGCATTTAATCCTCATGGACTAGTTTTTGTAGTCTGTTTGCAGTCTGTTGAGCACTCCCCCTTTTTTCACAAAGTTTACTCTTTTCCCGGCTGTTAAACTGTATACTCCAGTTTCTTCCCCATCGTTCACTTTTTAGACCTGCTCGCATTCAAGTCCGCAGCTGTAGAATGGAGAGGCCACCGCAGTAATGGCGGCTTGTCAACTTCCGGTTTTCCCCGTATCAGTCTATAAATTGGGAACACGAGAGGAACAATAAGCTTTTCTAGTGTTGATGACTACACTGCGTTGATGGACACTTGTTGGTGGTGATGATGTTGAAAGGCTTTTATTATATGTGTAATAGAAGACTTAATTAAGAATATTTTCTTTCAACTGTTAGTTAATCTTAGCCAATCATTCGGGCATTTTTTTAATCATGTACCAAATCACTTTTTTTTCCCCCCACATACCCTAATATACACAAACAGTTTTTTCCAGTCAGTGATGCAATCTGTCTTTGCCTTTAATCTTTTAAACAATTATTATTTCATTCCTAGATGTTAATTTTATATCAGGATCATTTTTGATTTTCCTTTCATGAATAGAGTAATCAGGGGTTAAACATCAACATGTGATGTTTGTGTGCCATGTAAATGTATATTAAGAGACACAGGGTTCTTTTGTTACAGTCTTACGGTCTAAGATTCCAAAGCTTTTCGAGATTTAGAACAATGTAAATGACGACAATTTAAAAACGATAAATTGTGGCACTTGGTAAGAAATCTGCTGGGCAAAGATATAAATGTTTCTGACAGAGGTTGAAGTACCTTATGTGAAGCTCTAAACATGATTTCTGAGTTTAACTGATTTGATTGGTCACTGAATTAATATTGAAATCAGTAATCCTTATAAACTAACTTTTGGTATAATGAAAGCTTTGCACTACCATTACTGTCAATGTTGTACTTTGATAACATAAAAGTGTGTTGTATGTACCATACTGCATGTACATTTGCTGGATGATGACCTTATATATCTTGTGAAGTCAATTAATCACCACAAGGCTAATACTACAATGCATGTATTCCTTCAACATTGGTGACAAATAAAATCTCAGTTTTTATCAAAATATATTTTGGAAATTCTTTATATGGTTAATTATCTGTTATGATATTCAATTAATCAATCATTTGTTTAGCGCCATACAACGAGTACTTTGTACTGTAGATAAATCTAAACTTTTACTGCTGCTGTGTTAAAAAAAAAAAAAATTGTCTGGTGAACAAATGTTAATGTTCATAGTGTCTGGGTTTGGTTATCATAAGTGCATTATGTTGATGATAATTGTTGCATATAGCTTGTATAGGCTTCTTTGGTTTGTGCATATTCAGGTTTGTCCTGCCTGTTATCTTATATTTAAATCCTGTATTATTCTTTAGTCAGTCAAAAAGAGAAAAAAAGACCACAAGGATGGGCAACATGAGAATTTTGGGATTTTTTTGACATATAAAAATTATAAATCAGTGGCATTGGGATTGGAAAAGTATGCATGGTACCAAAAAGGCTGTCCATTGTATGAAAGCATATTGGTGTATAACATAATGTGATCACTTCCATAAACCATCAGCCAAAGAGAGGACATTGCATCAACTAGCATATTATATTTTCTATCCATCGAGGTTCAGCAATGTTTTTTTAAAAAAAGAAAACTTTACACTGTACATCAAAAAGCTTTTCAATTAGAACAAAAATTCTAAAAATGTAAATTCTACTCAACCACTGCCAAGGAAATCACACTGAGAGGAAAAAAAAGGTTATGTAGTGGAAGCATAAAGAGAATCAGCTTACAAGGCTGGTACAACAATGGTCTGGTTGTAAAAATGCTGAATGATCTCAGTGACCGTCCCCTCATTAGAGCAGAACATGGCTGCTATGTAAACAGAGGGAGGCGGTAGGGTGAATGAAGGAGGAATGGAGGAGAGAGGGGACACCAGGTCAATGCAAAGCTTCAGCTTCAAAGTTCATTTTCTCTTGAGTAAATTGTATGAAAATAAAGAACATTTATCACCCTGTACAAACACACTAAAGATTTCAGTCACCTCAGGGTGACATTCTCTCTTCTCAAAAATCAGAGCAGGGAGAAAAGAGAAGGCGCCAGGTGTTTGCCAACACCAGCAACAAGCCATCTCACCTCATGCACTCTCTCATTTTCTTACCTTGAGTGGATGTAACAAACACCCTTCAGTTGTGTCAAACAACACACAGTTCCATAGAAATTGCATTTGTTCCTCATGACAGCTCTTCAGCTATGTTTTCTTTGTTTCTCCATGGCAGACAAGCAAAAGAAAAGCAAACCAACTATCACACACCTGTACAGGAATCTGTTACAAGCACTGCTCTAAAAGCAAAGCTCATGTCAGAAAATCATTGAAAATGTAACCCAACACAAATACTGTATTTCAATGTGGTATAAACCTGCAGACAACCCATTCATAAAGAAATATGTAACAGGTTTGTTCACAATTTTTACAACTACAAGTTTTTTTTTACCTTTATGAAGCTCAGAAAAGACCAGATAGTTTTGTGTTTTGTGTTTATTTTAATATAAATATGAATGTGTATGTGCTTCACTAGATGACAAAGAAGTTCTACACTGATGAATTTGGCTAAAAGACTCATCTGACACATAAAGGGGATCACTCTAAATATGGAATCCTTTGAACTTTTGCAGAATGAGCGAGGATGGGGAAAAGGTAGAATGTTAAATTGAAGAACTATAATATGTTATTTATGATAAATAAAAGGAATCATAATACAGATAAAGGGTTGTGGCAATGAAAAGTGAAAAAGTAAAAATGATCAATTAAAACAAGCACATGCATACACGTGCACAAAGACATGCATTCACTCTGTCTCTCTCACACACACACACACACACACACACACACACACACACACACACACACACACACACACACACACACACACACACACACACACACACACACACACACACACACCCATACAACTGAAAAAAGTGAGCCAAATAAATACTGGTTAAGTACAATACATACGTGTATTTTACCCATAGTTCATTAAACAAAACAAAGGGCGAGATCACACTGGATCAAAAATGGAAAAGCATGCATTAGTCCACTGCTCTACTGTAGCTTCACTCCTATCAGACTACAAAAAGTGGGGAAAACAGGGAAAGGGAGATAAAGGGAGGGAAAGATAGAGAAATAGAGAAACCCCTGTCCTGAGCAGTTAGAGCCACCTGGTCGGCCAGGAGTGACAGACTCCCCACACCACAGGGCACAGGGTGCTTCCTTTAGTGATAATTCTTCTTTTAACCTCCATCTTTGTCCTGCAGTCCAAGGGGAGGAGGAGTAAGGGTGGGTAGAGGTGAAATCGGATGAGATGGTCACTGTAATTCAGTAGGTCCAGTTTGGATAACAAAAGTGTTTGGGAATCGTGTTAGCTTGTGTAGAGGCCGAGAGGAGGAGGTATGTGTGCAGAGGATGGACTGGGAACTGAGGGAGCAGACTGAGGGGTGTAAATGGGAGGAATGACGGGGGTCAGAAAGCCAATCTTCTTCTCCAGGCTTATAGGGCCTGTGTCTTCAGCTCGATGGGCTCTCCCCTGGTCTCCTGCTGGCCCTCGGCCTCTGGGGGCCGGGTGCCCTTCAGCGTGGCGAGCCTCTCAGAGAGGCCACGCATACGGGGGAACAGCATGAAGTCATACAGCAGAGCACCCATGGCACCTCCAATCATAGGTCCAACCCAGTACACCTGCCATTCATGGAAATGACGGAGTAGGATGTTAGTAAAGATGTTACTTTGATTTGCACAAGTTTGTAGTATAAAAAGTTGGAAGGATCTTACCCAGTGGTTGACAAAATTCCTGACCAGGACAGCAGGGGCGAAGGACCTTGCTGGGTTCATCCCTGCTCCAGTGTAGTACATCTAAATCAAAGACAGACAGAAAAGTTCATAGGTACAATAAAAGAACCTTGTGGGATTCCAGAAAAAAAGTTGACATCCTCCTGGTTGATTCTTACCCCGAGAAGGTGACCCATGAGCACAGAGAAGCCGATGGCCAGGGCAGCAGAGCCCAGGCGTCCGTTGCGCCGCTCATCAGTCACAGCGAAGACGCAGACAACAAGCTGCAAGGTGAGGAAGACCTCCATGGTGGTTGCCATGCCCAGGCTGATACCTGGCTGCAACTGGAAGATACACAATTAGCATGGCTTGAATGTGAGTTATTATGCAAAGCAGTTTTTTTTAACTCCTTTTTTTTCAGACTTTTCAAGAAATATTCAAAAATTATGTTTAGTATACAGTATTCTTTTGTGATTAAACAATAATTGAAACTAAACAGTCAGTTTATGTTGCAATGTAACATTTGTGATACAGCAGTCAAAAGCAGCTATAGTATTTAAATCACTGGAGGATAAACTTACCGTGTTGAGTGCCAGGTTCCCCCTCATGTTGCTGGGTGTGACCCCATACAGCACAGCAGCACCAGCCAGTGCTCCCAGACACTGAGCTATGATGTAGAAGAAAGCGCGGAACAGAGACATCTGGGATCCGATCAGGTAGGCAAAGGTAACAGCCGGGTTGATGTGTCCCCCGCTGATGTGGCCGATGGACTGGATGAGGGTGGCAGCTGCCAGCCCAAAGCAAAAGGCAACATGGAGGACATTATGGGGCCCCGTGGTCCAGCGGAGGGCGGCCCCCAGCCCAAAAAATACAAAGAACATGGTGCCGTAGAACTCTGCGAACACCGCCCGCCAGAAAGACATGGACCTAAACTCCCACATGGTGGTAAAAGATCAACGCCTAAGCAGTGGAGGGATGAAAGTCAACAGAAAACTAACAAATTCACTGAGGAGATGCAAATTCTCCTTAATAATGACTGTTTGAGACCAAAGATCACAGAGCAAATGAAAACTATTTGCCCTCAAACAAAAACTGCCTCTCTAAAGCTAAATAAACAACACATAAACTACTAAACTTGTAACTCTGATTAAGCTGCTGCTCTGCTTTCTTAATTCTGATTTCTGTCATAGAGAGCTCCCCGTTGGAGCACTATGCTGGTCTCTGTGCATCTATGAGCAAACCCCGCTGGTTGTTAGTAGAAGAACATGGGTAGACAAACGTGAAGCATGTCCTGCAGACATTCAGCCTCTTTACCAGAGCAGGGGGAATCCAGAGAGCTTTTTATAACACCCCAGGGCCACAGTAACCCCACTGAGCCCAGGGGAGGGGCCAGTGAACAATACTACAAATCAAAACACACTTTTTAACCCCTCTCCTGCCATGGCCTCCATCACTATACTCACATGTAGAAATTACTCTGGTTAAAGGGCACCTTGATAATTAATCAAACTTCTTTATGAAAGAGGTTTGTTGGGTGAGGACCGAGGAAAATCTTTAAGTTAGAGCATTGTATTCCCAATGAGGAAATGGAATGCTAGCACCTGAGTACCACTAATACATTATTACAAACCACAAAGTGGTAGAAAATCCCGTTCATTTGACATTGGGGCTGCAAAGTACTTCAAACCTTGAAATAGAAAATCAGTGGGCATGTAGTAGGTAGAATTTGTGAGCTGGTGGAAGTGAAGAGCAGTTAGAATTTTGCTTGATTTCAAGTAGTTTAGATATTTTTTAAGTAGTTTAGTTAAATGTGGAAGTCATATCATTACATCATTAAAACATCACTTTATTTTGTTTTCCAAGCTTTGACACAGTACCACAGTACGAGCAATTTCTCATATTGGGTTTGTGGCAGCAGAACTCATTAAGCACAGTTTTGAATTGTGTTTGTATGGCTGTGTGTGCTGTGTGTGTGTGTGTGTGTTGGACGGGCTTGTAGGCTCAGGTCAGATAAAGCAGTAGAAAATCCAGGGCTGGAGAGGAAGAGGGGAGAGCAGGCCTGGCATTGAGCTTCTGCACCGGAGCATCATGCTGACTGGTGCAGCCAGAGGGACAGCCGCAGAACTCTGAAAGGATTATGCTGAGCTCACTGCTTTGCTCTTTTCATGTGTGGAAACAAAACGCTGGCAGTAACAGTTTCTGTTGCTTTCTATGATCTGTTTGTCCTGCCATCGCTTTTTAATCCATGCATTCCCTTTTCCATGGGTGGCGATTTAATTATTGCTCTTAATTCATAGAGTTGTGGTAATGGTAACAGAATGATTTCAAACATAATTCAAATACATTTTTAAAGTTAGACATATACTCAATATGTTTCTCATCAATCTCATAGCAGCCAGACTTTTAGGAGTTTTTCCCTAATTACACTGAAAACATGAGAGGATTTTTAACTCTGATATAATTTAATAGGGTTGATTCTGTTGTCCTTATTCAGACAGATTCTTAGTTTGCCAATTGGTGCACCTTCATTGTGATGAGTATTTTGGCCTTCTCATGACTCTCTCTGTCAATGGTAAGCCACCTTTTGTGGGTTTAAGCCCTCAGTTTAGTTTTTACAGGGGAGGGGGTTGAAAAGGTGCTTGCATTGTATTTTCCCGTCCCTGGGTCTAGACTGCTGACGAGTACATAAAACATGGAGCCCCCTACACATCTCATTCTGGAGTCGAAGCTCTGGTCTGCCCTCACCACATGTAGGCTGCAGCAGGTAACAGGAAATGAAGAACTAAAACATACAGTATAGCTGCTGAGGTGATCAAAACAATTAACAGCGAGGGATTTTTAGAGATGTTTAAACCCCCATGAAATTAGACATGACAAAGTGAATTAAGTTCACACATCCATTGACAACAATTTTATGGTTCTCTACCAATAAATAACCCTCAAGCTGATAATTAACAATAATCTTTGCAAACTTGTTCTATGATTGAAAAGTTGTATGTACTGCTAATAATGAAAACATCACACATGGTGCTGAAAACATACAACATAAGGACACTTCTGGCCTCCATTTTCCTTTTTTTTTTGCACTTATATAAGTGGCTACTGAGTTAAATTAGTACCGGGGAAGGAGATCCTGTGTAATACTATGTGTTATGATAAAGAGAAGGGAGAATGGCGTGATGGGAAAACATCATCTTCAATTACATTTTATTTTCAAGGAATTGTGCAAAGAATAGGTTCAAGTTCTTTAAGTGTCTGAATATTGAACTTGCATGCCCATGTGTAATTAGAAATAGCACTAAACTCGCTACTCGCTGTGATAATACTTAAGATGCAAGAGATGCCACCATCCCCAAAAAAGCCCAAAAGCTACAAAGAAGCTTTGTCAAACCGAGTGAGCTTAAACAAGACTTTATCTTTTTTTAATTCAGCCGCTTTAGTCAAGAACTCCCACGATGGGTCTTTTTGCTCACCTGCAGCTCAGCAGGAGGCACTGTCAGAATCATTCCATTCTCATAAGGATTAACTTTGATTTGCCTGCTCATGTTTTATATTCAAAACATTCTTTGGCCAGAACATTAACTCATGATTTTGTCTCCCACGACTAACCAAGATAGGGACCTTAATGTGCAGTATGGACCAGAAAAACAAATACTGTAAGGAATCATTCAGGGCTGCCTCTTGTCATTTTGGCACACAAATCGAGGTTATGACCCCACCCACATGTTTTCCTGCTACACAGTATAATTTCGTATATTTTGCTCGCCATAATGTAGCACAGAAATCCAATTAAGACCTGATTATATGTTTTTAAACACAACTAGCATACTAAACTGTGCTAAGCTATGAGGACATCATGGGGCTTTTGGGGATCATAGCTCAGATCTTAGTGGGGGGTCAGGGTGACTTTTCTCTGCATGTCATTTAAAAATGAAAGTAAAAGATAACTAACAAAATGACAAACGAGCTTACTCACCATCCACCTTTTTTTTTATAAATCAATTTTGATTTAGCAGTTATTTATTTTTTCTTTATGAAAAAGGAGGGTAAGAGTAACTTCTTACCCTCCTTCTTCATAGTTCCTCCCTGGACACTCGGTCATCTCTCCTCCTGCTGCGGCCTAAAATCTGTGAGTGAGTGGTTGAGCAAGTGAGGGGAAGTTTTCAATCCGTCAAAATGCTTATATCTATAGGCTCTATACGCAACAACATAAAGCCCTAGGTGACTGCCTACATCACCCATGCCTTGAGCTGGCTCTGGAATCATTCATGTGGCTATGGGGAGATCAGTATTGTTAAAGAGACACACTTAAGAAGTAAAAGAACACATCAAGTTGATGGAGACTCAAATATACTCAATATACTGTTTGAGTACAACTTAAAGAATTTTGATTTTGCTGAAGTATTTTCAGCTATTCCACATTCAAACTAAACTACCTTTTTAGAGCGACATATTGCCTTTTCACACAGCACTGATTAAGTTACGAGATACTTTCCAAAACAGTGTCAATGCAAAATATGTTCCAACACATAACACAAGGTGAATTAATATAGAAATGACTTTATTGACGCCCAGAGTTAATTTAAAAGGTGCCACGGAGTATACAAATAAATCTAAATGAGCTTTGACTGAAGCTGCAACACATCAGTTATGTTAATACACACACACCAATCACTTCAGTGCAACACTAAAATAAAAAACTTAATAAAGTGGGTACTTCTGTAAAACAAGTACGTTAAGTTCTTTAGTGTATTTTGTTTCTCTTCAGTGAGATGTTGAATGCGGTATTGGCAGTATTTTTGACCGCCTGTCACAATAATTAGTAATGTCTCCCTCAGTGGATTCTCTTATTACTTCAGTAATTCAAACGTTGCTTGAAGAGATGTTTCAACACCAAAGCGTTGTGTTAAATGGCTTCAAACAGTTTATTTAAAATGTTTGCCCAAACTCCAACAGAATAAGACAAACACTAAAGTGTTCGAGACGTGTTGCATAAAACACACAAGCCCTCAAATATTAGTTCTAGTGACAAACATTAAAAACCGGTTCACTATTTAACTCTTCTCTCACACTCTCATCTGTATGCAGATTTCACCACTCTGATACCATAATCTCAACACACACTGTAAATTGCACAAGCATATCAGTTTATTTTAAATGCTGAAATATGTTTAAAAAATGAAATCATTGTTTAATATTTGCAGATGTTGGCATACATAAAAAATCCCATTTCAAGCAGAACTTCTGCTTTTTAAATTAACAAACAAAATAAGTGCATTTTACAATACAAACATTAAAGGGGAAAATCTGTCATTAAAAATCTACTTTTTTTTGGAAAATAGGCATTTTGAAATGTTTTTCTCATATTAGAACCCACAATGTTCAAAACATAGCCTGACATTGCAAAAAAAAAAAAAGAAAAACTGAGAGAAAAAGTGTAAGACACTAGCACATCCCATGACAGTCATTAAAGAGCCCATATTATGCCCTTTTTGGGGTTTGTATATTTACTTTTGTACGTTCACAATAGCTTAAGTCCGAAAAAAAGTGTCTGTTTTCATGTACTGCTCCTCCCTCTACGCTCTGAGTCCGTCAGCTACGCTCTGTTGAGCCCCCACTGTTAGACCCCACGTGGGCCAAGTCTGCTCTGATTGGTCTGTTGATCTGCTCTGTCGTTACTGGTCAGTTGCTCAGCACGCGTCTCGGAAATTTCAACATGAGCGGCTGGGCTTGCCACGAGCCAATGGGCTTAGATCAGTGACCTCACACTGACGATAACGTCGGACTGACACATTTTTATCGAGGGGGGCTAGAACCGAGCGTTACACGCAGCTAATGCTACAGCTAACAGGAGGACGTGGGAGAAGCCGCGTTTCCGCGGACTTTGAAGTTTTGCACATAGATGTGCCTAAACGTGCACAGGACACTTGTGAAACACACTAAAGAGCATATAAAACAAGAAAAAGCATAATATGGGACCTTTAAAGTCAACAAACAATAACATTTTCATTTGAACAGAATTGTCCATGCAGAACAGAACAGCAAAGCACAGCACTGTATGTCTATGGTTCTCTGTGCATGTCTGTATCCAACAGTCACTCCCTCAAGGGTTTCACTTTGGAAACTGCGAAGAGAGACGAGGTTTCTTCTCTGACATGGCTTCCAACTCATGTCTTTTGCCTCTCTTCAACTGACATATAACTTGCATTTTACTAATGAGATGACATCTGTATGCATCTACTCAAGGTCGGGCATTTCTGGAGAGACAAAAAATAAAAGCATGATGTGTTTGAGCAAGTGATTACATTTTAAACCCTCACTTTTGACTAGCAATCATATTCAATCAAAAGAGGAAAAATAAACAGATGTGATAACACATCTACAAGGTTCCTCTGGGTTTTAGATGGAGTTCAAAATGAACTTGTACCTCAACAAACCTCTTTGCAACATCATTGAAACCATCTCTTACTGAAGGCATATCAAAGCATTTTGAATTACAGTCTAATGTATTCAACACTATGATAATAGTTATTATGATGGTTTTATTTGCAAAATACTTTTTTATTTAACTAATCAAAAATGTAATCATAGCCTAGCAATATACTGGTAATCTCCTAAATTTCCAACTAATGAGATGTAGTGACTACAAATAACAAGAAAATGCTTCAGAATGTTACTTACTTTCATCGTCACTGTCTGCAGCGCCATGCTGCAAAAAAAGACACAAACACAACAATCACAAATCTTCATATAATACTCTACTTGGTACATTTCATTCAAACAAAACACTGGTCTCTGTTATATATTATATTAAGCACAAAAGTAGCACAAGTATGTAAAAAACATACCTCTTCATCTGCTGCATCTAAGTCTGGTAGATCATCTCCTCCCATAGTGTTCATCATCTGGAGATATACAAAGAACCCATATGTCATTGCCTCTTCAAAGGTGGCACCACAGGTGCCTTGTGCAGTGTAACTGAACGTACTAACAATTTTGACAGTGTACATATTTGGCATTCTTACCTCTGAGAATTTGTCAAAACTTGACAGGTCCTCATCTGATTCATCTTCCCAGTCTTTCCAATTGTTGAAATCCACACTCAGCCAGTTGCACTAAGACAGTTGTTTTTTTAAGCAAGACATGTTTCTCAATGACTTCATTACAGCTCTAGAGTTTAGATCAATTTCTACTTCATCACCATTTCAAGGTACAAAAATGATCATAGGAAATTGGACTACTCACTCAGATTCAAGTATTGTTACTATGTGGCTGAAATAAATTAGCCAATAGCTACAAATATATTCATTATCAAGTTGTTTGGCAATTAGTTATTGCAACTGTATCTGTTTTGCAACAAATCTATACCTTAAAATGACACGAGATTAATATCTGTTGACTTCAAAGCCTTCAAACTTCAATTACCTTTGACTTGTCTTTGGTGAGTCGTGGCCATGATTTCCCAGCCTCTGCTTTTCGTAAACAACACAACACAGACCTGTCAGTGCGTCTGTGTTTGGATCCCTTGGTAGAATAGAAAAAAGACTAATTAAGACTCTGAAGAAATAAAACTCATGGTAAACTGCATCTTTGGCTATGAAAAAAAAAAAACCTACTTTGGGGTCAATCTCCCCAAAAAGGTCCACTGTATTGTGGAGTTTGACCTTATCTGCTCCATTCAAACAGCTGCAAGGTGGACAGAAAAGAGAAAGGGTTATTTTCTGTACAACAATAACTGGTATAACCAGTAAGGTATTGTGTTTTAACCATTGTGCTTTAATGCACGAATCAGGGCCCTGTTTCCAGATAGCATTTTTAAGCTTATCTGCTCTCTAAGAGGATTGTGGGAAATCGAGAGCCATTCATTTGAGAAAATTCTAGAATTTCAACTTTTAGAAAGTGCTACTCTTAATTGTAAAAAGTTGCAACTTACCTGAAGTCAAACTTTAACTTGTCAAACTTTAGTTGCACATCTTTGCTGTCTTCCACGCAGAACTCTACAAACACAGAGTCCCTTCTGTCATACCACTTCGCTGTTGCAGGCTGCCTGATGACAAAAGGAGGACACAAAGGAATTTACAATTGCATTTATTTTTTTATGTGGATCTGACCAGTTAATTATTCAAGAACCAGGAGTTCTGTGCTTGTTAACATAAATTGTTCACAGGTTTCACAGCCAGCTCTGGATATTGTGCTTTGGTGGACCACGTGTGTAACATGCAGTGCATTTGAGGTCACGTTTGAACCATGCTGATAAAAGCGTCATTCAGTTCACTTCAAGCTTAGCATGGGTGCAACTCAAGTATCAATCCCCTTTTTTATCTGAAAGCTATAACCACTTTCTACAAGCTTCAGAATGACCCACTAATCAAACACACATCTAACACAGCAACAAGCCCATTAAAAGATATGTTCATGGTTATTTGGTAGTAGGGGAAAGCATATGTCTAGGCGGTGTAATATGGCGTAAACTTACTCTCTAGCTCGTACAAGCCAATCATGACACCAGGTTTTTTGTTTAATGCTAACATAAACGTTACCTTGCACTGCTTGACATTAGCCTGCTAGCTAACGATAGCTGATGTTAAACGCGTAACAAAAAAAATACAAATTTTTATTTAACACAGTTGTGCCAGGACGTATTACAGCGAAGGAAATCAAGCCGTCTGTGGATGTGGAAAAAAAAAACGCGCGATGCATTTGTGTCGTGACAGGATCAGTAAGTTGTGACAGCAACGCTGAAGCTAACGCGTGTGCTTAGCTCAGTTAGCTTAATGTTAGCTGGTTGGTCCGCTGTATACCACACATCTTCCAAGATCGACCATTAAACGACCACATAGTAAACGCAACACTTACATCTCCACTGTTATTGTTATTTATTTCCCTTCGTCGGACCCCGATATAGATAATATCTAGCTGTAGTGCCCGGCAAATCTGTTACGCTGACACATAAACAGTTAACTCAAACGTTATCAACTGGTGCGCTTGTCTCTCCAAACATCGCGAGATTTCACCGTTCTCTCGTGACGTACGAGGTTTCGTCTTTCTGTGCACTGGCCCCTCACAGAGCGAATCCGCTGGAGACAATTCTAGAACTTGGTTGGTTCAGTGTGTGTGTGTGTGTGTGTGTGTGTGTGTGTGTGTGTGTGTGTGTGTGTGTGTGTGTGTGTGTGTGTGTGTGTGTGTGTGTGTGTGTGTGTGTGTGTGTGTGTGTGTGTGTGAGTAGAACAGCGCAACAGCTCCACCGCTGTGGCTGCTTGGTAGAAGGCGTGGAAAAACAATTGTTGATAGAGAAAATAAATGTTGTTGGAAATAGTAATTTCTATCGTGTGGGTCACAAGGAGGCCATGCAAGGAAATAATCACAAAGTCTCGTGCTACGCAAAAGTTGGCTATACATATAACTATCTGCAAAACAAAACAACATGCATCTGCATCATAACAGTGTTTGTTGTGAAGTTGTGTTGAGGCAATACATATTCATTCTTGTGAAATGAATTAGGCAGGAAGTACCTATGGCCTTTAAGGGTTGGGCAAGCGTATTTCACATGTGGCCTGGTCAAAATTAACATTTAAGATATATATTCACGATGGCATTCTTCCTATCAACAATTGTCTTTACAGATATAGCCTACATACACAACGTTGTTCGTGTGATTCATGAGTATTTGGCTTCTAATTTGATAGGCTATATCTAACGTAGCTTATTTCTTCATAGGACAAAATCTCCTTTCAGATATCTATAACCCATGTTTGTTATAGGCTAGTCACAATTTTTTAGCATTTTTTTTTTTTTTACCAAAGATGGAAAAAAATTGCCTGAATATTATATCTATAATGTACTTTTGAATATCCTAAATTTTTTAAATAGTGAAAATGTGATTGTAGATCTGTAAAAAGGGATTTTTTCCCGAAGAACTCAATTGCAGATATCTTAATGTTTTATCCTGGGTATGAATGACATGTATATCTGAAATTGAAAGAACAATATACATAAATTGTAAAAGTGGAGAAATGAAGTGAATATCTGATATTAAAATTGTGGATAGTAGAATGTTATTGTGAAACTCTGTAATAACAATTCTCAAGACATTATTTAAGAATATGATATAGTGACTAACAATAACAACACGTTTTGATTTATTTTAATGATATCTTAAATATTATTAGTGATAGGTGATAGGAGGGTGTTTCCTTTAAATGTTAAAACGGCTTGTCAAAAGGGACATAAATTGGAACTATCTAACATATATGACACATATGTAGGCTTATTCAGTATGCTTTGTGGATTCAAACCATATCTTGTCAGCAATTAATAACAATTCAAAATACTGCTGCAGATTTAGGACTGTACTTTAGGTGGGTCAGTGGTTCAGCTGCAGCATGGTGCTGGGCTTTGATGATCCATTTGGGTATATTTAAAAAAAAGACACACGACTCTTTCTTGTTTTCCTAATAGAGAGATGCACAGATGAGTCAACAGTTGAAAATCCAAACCAAATGTATTTTTAAAGCACATTTAAAAACAACAAAAATGTAACAACATTCTGTACAATCCAACAAATGACATGGAAACAGAAAAACTTGGACAGCAAACCAGACTTTGGGAGAGGCTTCAAGCAGTTGGACTTAGATACCACAACATTGTCCAAGAGGCATTATCACCAGTTTGAGGCTTGGCAGCTTCTGATAGAGAAAGTAGCCTGCGATAACAGAACAGGGCGGGGAAAGAACAAGCAGCACTGTCAAATGAGAGGAACATGTGAATTAAGCCAAAGATGACATCAGGTGAACTTGAATAGAATAATGCCAGTCAGCACACGTGTGTGAGTGGGATACCTACAGCTATTTCTGATAGGTTGGAATAAAAATGTATCTTCAAAGAATACTTTGAATCAGATTATTATTATTTAAAAATAAAATCACAAATTCCCTTTTTAATGTGGTCAGTTGACACCAGTCCTCCTTTGGCCTGAATAGCATGACACCATCCCCAAAAATTTCAGGCATATAGCTTATGGCTATACTTATGGTCTCTGGTGTTTCAGTTGGCATAGTGCAAGCAAATGGAAAACATTTTCTGCAGCGATTTTCCACTTGAAATATCACAAATTTCACACATTATATACATCTTATTTACATCACTCTTATTAAAAAGAATTTAGTATTAGCATTTTGTTCACATGTTCAAAAGATTAAATATAAAATGTAGGCTATACATAAAGATAAAGATAAAGATAAACTTTATTGATCCCCTGTGGGGGAAATTTGTGCATTACAGCAGCTCCAGAAAACGGGGGTCGGAATATACTTATAAAAAAATAAAAATAAAAGTTAAAAACAGATCAAACATATTTACATCATTTAAATAAAAAAATACAATAATGTAAAAAAATACAATAATGTAAATGTAAAAATACATACATACATACATAACCTTTCAGAACAGGAAAATCAAAACTTTGGGACATGAGGACTAAAAGAGAAATTGTTTAAAACTTCCTAAGTTTTTGCTGAAACGTCCATTTTTTCAGGCCTTTTTTTAAAAAAAAGAGCAACAACAGCAAATCCATCCTAACATAGAATTCACATTATTTCCATAAAACTTTGCATCTTTTAATTTGACAAAATCTAAGACAGGTGGAAATTCCGAATAAAGCAACAGAATTAAAAAAAAACTAGAATCAAAAAGTAGCTTAGGGTGTCCCATAAATATTCTATACAATGAATTTTGAAAATACTGCTAAGTATTAACTTGTATTTTAGAATAACAACAATTTTAAAATGACACAATATTGAAGAGTATTGATACATTTAGTGTAAATCATAATGATAATATAATAATTAGTCCTGGAATGCATTTGCTAAAAAGAAAAAGCGTAGGCTACTTTGTCAAAGTATCCCCAACAATTGCAGCATTGTTGTCAATAAATCCCTGCATCCTGAAAGACAGCTTCATTTGCATCATAACTGAATGAGTGGGTATTCCCTCGATGGAGCGTGGGCTGAACACTTGTGTGTACTTTCCGTGTTATAAGCATTACGTTATAATGATAGCTCTTAATCACGACAAAACTATGATTCACTCCCAGCCCCAAAAAAAAAAAAAACACAAACCACCATTTTTCACCCAATCAAGTCAGCTCAGTGACGAACTTCCTGGTCAGATTTCCTCGTAGGTCCCAGTCCTTTTAATGGCTATGTTTGCTCCTTCCACAGTCAACAGGGAGGACGAGGCTTGAAAGAGCAGAGCACGGACTTGGAAAAATTACGCGAAAGAGCAAACCATCGTCCTGGAGAAAAGTGTCACACAGCTTGCGTGGTGGGACTGGGAGCCAGATGAAAAGAGAAATGCTATTTACTCAGTGTTGCGCCTAGCCCAAGGACGTACGAAAGAAGGCAAACACAGCCGAGACCGAGGACGAGGTGCAGGATTTGGATGGCATTTGCCGGGGCCGGGGAAGAACTGTTAAAACCCTGAAGAGACGTGAACTTGGAATATGTTTGAATATCATGACTTGACTACAAACGACGTTTTATCTGCGGATAAGCTGCAGCAGCACGTCAGAAATAAAGGCCTCATCTGATGGCTCTTTAATCCAGCCACAATCCTCCCTGACAGGCAGCGACGAGCTACAGCAAAGGGTGAGGTACTGAAGTAATCAAGGGGAAAAGCACTTAGCTAAATGTTGACGCCAAATCTATCAAAGGCTAAGCTAATGTTGCGTTATCGCCGAATTTCCCTTTGCTGCTGCAGAGGATGGCTCAGTCAAAATACCACCACAGAGCAGCTGTGATACCGTTTTGTCCCATTCCTTCAGTGTTTCCTCCTCTCTTTTTCTGTTCAACAGGACGCTTTATTCGCAATTGAGGGGATTTATGGGATCACAAGGTAACCTTTCAACCCTAAAGAAGTGTCACTTCTGTGCTGGCCCGAGGCTGTCATTGATGTTTCATGTTGTCCGCGTGTGTCGGGCTTCAGTTTCCTTTGTTTACAGTCTGAATCTCTGAACAGCTGACGGCTCCTCAGCTAAACCGCGATGTTGCCCTGTGTTGTTCTGTGACGTGCTGCATCCACTGCAAATAGCTTCCAGTGTAGCTGTCGGGTATGCAAAGAAAAAATAATTAAGCAAAAGGGTATGAAGCATGAAGCCCTTAAGCAATAGAGAAAGTGAAACAAAACAACTTTTTAGCCATGTCAGAGAAAAATGTATCATAATACAGTTGAACATGGCTTTAACGACTAGTGTATAGTTTTAGGGGGGAACTTTTATAACTTGATTTACACTCACACAAGGGCAGAATGTATTTTATTGTCTTTGTGCTGACTTTTTTTTCCCCTCTCTACAGTCTCTTCTGATGAGATGAGTGTGCGTGCTGGCCAGGGCAGTGATGAGGTACTGGTTTCACAGGCTGTGTGGGATTACCTGGCTGCAGCTGGGCGGCCCTGGCTCGTTGACTTCCAGCAAAAGCAGGGGATGAGCGCCGGTATCGTTAGGCGTGGAGAAAGAGGGGGCTGCTGCGCCGTGAGGCTGCAGCCGGTGGAAGGCTCCAGGAGCGCCAGGGATGGACTGATGGATGGAACTATCTCCAGCGAGACACGAAAAGCCTTCATTGACTTATGCCGTTGTGCCCGTAAAGAAATGAGCAAACTGGAAGGTGGACCCAAAAGGAAGAGGACTCTGCTGCCTTGTGTGGCAGTCCTGGAGCCCAATGGAGAGGGGAGCCGGCTTCAGCCTCTTCCTCCTCAGCCAAGACGCTCCCAGAGACAGCAGCAAAGGTTCAGGAAGCCTACCGATGAGGAGGCCTGTGTCATGCTCCACGAGGCAGCACAGAGAAAGGATATGGACTCCAATTTGGCTTCCCATAGTGAGGCAGAGGACCCCAAAACTTGTTCAATCTGCATGGGGGACATAGTGGAGAAGACTACCCTGGATAGGTGTGGCCACTCATTCTGTCGCTCTTGCCTGGATCAAGCCTTTAAGGTGAAGAAAGCTTGTCCCGTGTGTCGGCTGGTGTACGGCCAGTTGATTGGGAACCAGCCTGCAAACGGTACAATGATTGTGGAAAGAGATCCTGATCTGGAGCTTCCGGGCCATGAAGGCTTTGGATGTATCTGCATCATCTACAGCTTCCCTCCTGGCCTGCAGGCAGTGAGCACACACACACACACACACACACACACACACACACACACACACACACACAGGTTCTAAATAAATAAGACAGATCATTAAACGCAGTCAAATATCACAATTGCATGGAAGACGAAAAAATAGATAGAATAAAATCTTAGTTTAACTACTTTAGTCTGATCATGTTTGTAGGTAAAACTTTATAAAACAGGCTTGTTGATTTTTTTTTTTTTAAACTACTGAACCTCCTGCTTGACTTTGAGAATCTTCTTTAATCATTTTTGTCTCTATTTACACAAATTCTAGTGTCAAGGTAGCGTGTGTAAGCACCCTCATCTGAACTCCCACCACTATGTCAATACCTGACAAGTCTTTTTATTTATTTGAGTTTATTGTGAGGAAGGAGACGAGACAAACAACAGTTATTGTTTGTGATCATGTTTTGGTGAGTTTATATCTGTACAACATATTTTATTTATATTTATATTTTATTTTGTACAACAGAAGTAAACATGGCCTATGTCCATCCAAATATTTGTAAGTGTACCAAACCCATATAACATTGTGAATTTATGCCAAATTAAACTTAGGAAAATGATGATTGATTAATGAATCAAGGTGTTATCTCTGCTCTCTTTTACAAAAGTACTGCAGTTCTACAGTGGTCTTATCGGGACAGTATCTGGAGGAGCGGCATGTTAAACACATATATCCTGATTGGTTTGATTAGACCTTTAATGAGCTGTAGTCTGCAAGCTCCCTGTACAAAGCTCGAGTAATGTCAATACCGGGAGCATTCATGACAAGCGAGTGAGTGTTTAACATCTTGACGTTGCACTGAGTGTAGATTCTCCTTTTTATTTATTTTTTGCTTGCCTGTAAATTGCTTTCCTCTCTTTTGTGACTTTGAATTAATTTTCCTCCATAAAATTCAGCAAAATATCTTTATAGTATTCTATGCATTTTACATTGCTTACATCTGAATTTATCAGCTTGCCTGTCAGTCTAGAACATTGTCGCATACAGCTTCTTTTTATTTAGTGGAATAGTGTGGCAGGCACCATGACAAGGACTGTCATCATCCTCTTATTTGAAGACCAACATCTTTCAAACTCCATGTCCTCAGTTTGTAATAGACGCTTTCTATTATACATGTGTAGTCCAGGTTGAGACAACTCCAAGATATTAGCTTTACAAATACTTTTACTGGCTCAGTAGTGCTTCCCCTGGCAGTTACTGTAACTGTAAACTTGCCCATGTTCGTTCATTGGAGTTCCCCTTTACAAGGAAATAGACAGCTAGCAGGTTGGAATGCCCCACATGTTTGAGAATATGTTTTTTATTTCAAGGTCCAGGATTCAAGCTCAGTTTTATTGTTTCCCTTGGTTGAAATTTGAGGAAGAACAGCTTCCCTAAAACAGATGTAATAAATTAAATGTATTAAATCCATTAAGCACACTTGGTAGGACACTACTTACAAAAACAGTAAAGTTTATACAGCTAAGCATAAAAGAGAGGACCATGGAAACAATAATTGTAGTAACAAAGTGTCCCAGACCAGATAGACATATATATATATATTTATTTAAATAAATAAATGCCTATTTAATGTGCTCCTGTTTTAACTCTTGTGTTCTTAACAGCCAGAACATCCCAACCCAGGGGTCCGGTACCCAGGAACAGACCGTGTGGCCTACCTCCCTGACAGCCCCGAGGGGAACCGTGTGCTGGGCCTGCTGCGCCGGGCCTTTGAACAGCGCCTTATCTTTACCATTGGTACCTCCATGACTACGGGCATGCAAAATGTCATCACCTGGAATGACATTCACCACAAAACCTCAATATGGGGTGGGCCTCGCTGGTATGTACAGCTTTTATCTGCAGGAGATAAAACCACTTCATGGTCTGTTAGCTGAGATAGGGGTTCTGCATAGTCTGACTGTTGTTATTAAAGTATATGAGAGGGAATGTTTATCAGCTGATGTTCTCTGTTAGGTGGCACTTTCACTAACTGAGCCCATATCAAAGTATTGATGGCTCTTTTATTTCTCCTGACAGTTTTGGCTACCCAGACCCTACCTACCTGGTGAGAGTGACAGAGGAGCTCAGAGAGAAAGGCATCATGGCCGACTGACAGCATGAAAAGGATGGACTCTTCCAAGACTTTGTGAGACTTTCCGAGAGCCCTTGCGGTGGACATGACTCGGCCCCAGGTTGTGCTCAGAGACTGCCCGTCCCTTAAAGGATGTCTGAAGACAAAGCCCTCAGCAGAGAGGTGTTCAATGCTGCAGAGTTCACCTCACTTCAGTACTTTCCCGTCTGTTTGTTCTTATTTTTTCCTCAAGAGTTCAGCTTGGAAGAAAATACTGAGTGCAGTGCATTCTTGTATTGTACAATCCTCCACCTGTTGCTGTTTGGCAATAGGATGGATATGTGATATGCTTCCTTAAGAGCATCATGGTTTGTGTGAGTTCATGGTACTTATATATTATAATTTAGGATAAAAGTTTAATGTCATAAAGACACTTTATGTTATATTCATGATGGTTTGAACTCTGGGAAGTTTATTGTTTTTTATAAGCACACATTCTTTGTTTTACCTCCACAGAAATGTTTGTTTGGTTATTGAGTCTAATTTAATTGTTACTAATTACCCGTAGTTAGCGTAGTACCTGGGTTATATAAGGTTCAAAAGAAGGAATTCATTTCCTGAAATTACTGAAATCTAAAGCACTTAGTGGCACTTTGGTAAGACTTTTTTGCTTCCCCTGTGGAAGAGTGTTTGCAACAAACAGGTTTGTGCAGCCATAAGCTAAAGCTTGGTGGCTTCTAGTTGATGTCAATTGCTTGAGGCACTTCATTTGTATGTGACTTTCATTTCATCCCCATTTGTACTGAAATAGGACGAATGTTTACCAATGCTTCATGGCAGCACTTTTATTGTACACATTAATACTTTTCCCGTTTTTTTTTTTGTTTTTTTTTGGCTGTGGGTCAGTCGTGTAATTTCAAGATGTCTCCCAGGTGTTGAGCCCATTACCTCAGTTCTTAGTAATGTGCTCATCTAATTACCAGATTTATGATGATGTCAAATACAAAGGGCATACCGACCACTTAAACCAAATCAACGGCACAAACGCTCTTGGAATATCTTTGCCTCTGTTCCTAACAAACTTGGAGATTTACCTGCTAATGTTCTCATTTAAAATGAGGTAACTTTTGTCAATTTGTTATCTGAGTAGATAATCAAAAATGCACAGTAAAAAGAAAATACATACGAAAATGTTGCGGGAACCCTTGATCTGATTTTGGATGGGGAATTTATCTAATTTTGTCGTGCCTTTCTTATATTTACTTTTGATAAAAGTCTAGCATGATGTTACTAATGAAAGGTTTGCAGTTTGGGCATATGTTGATGTTATTTGATTGGTAAGAGCATTATGTTTGTAGCCATACTATCTGGCTTTTAGTTCAAATACTATCCATTTCATTGAATTATAAATAATGTTTATTAAATAAGCTTCTCCTGCATCAACGTTTTTATACTCCATATAAAAAAAACAACAACAGACCTGACGAAGCTGTATGTGTAAAAGTGCTTTGCTAAGTGCAGTAACTTACTTAGCTAGTCGAACATTTGTCATTTATTTAACTGCTCAGATCCATACATCAGATACCCTTTTGTGATGTTTCCATATCCTTTGTATTTTAGTTCAGGGACCAACTGAAATACTTTTGGGACACAGGATTGTAGTTTACTGAAGCTACCGTGCAAACATTTCTATGCATACATGTCGAAGGAGGAGCTGCAGGAGAATGGAGAGTTGGAGAGAATAAACATATAACAAAAGTGATTGTTAAGGAAAAGTGAGAGTTTTGCTTTTCTAATTTTGTTTATTTGTACTTTGTTGATATTCAGAATAATGTTCTTTACATTTTAATACTTGAATAAAAAGTTATGTTTGGCTTTGTGTTGGACATTTAATGGAGTCCCAGAAAGCAGGTGCAATATAAGGAACTGAATATCAAACCTGTGTGCATTTGGAATGAGTCCGATGTGCCCTCTGTTAAAGATTGTGTATAACATTAACCCCATATATCTGTAGTAGATCTCTAGCTCATACCAAGACACTGAACTGAAGAAAATTAGTGCCATCTAGTGGAAAACTTAATGACTGCAAAGTGATAAGACCTTTAAAAACCTCATTCTGTATACTAACTTGATTTTATTTTCTAAGATAAATACTCACACTACTGTTATAGTGGCTCCAAAGCATATATCACACAAACTACAACATCTAGTATGAATTAGACATTGGAACGCTGTTTTGTTGCATTGCATTCCCGTCTCTCACTCATCACATTTCCTGACTGCTTCTTTTGAATCAATTAAAAGCATAAACACCCAGAATATAGTCCTTGAGATGAAAACAAAAAGAACTGTTTGGTATCCAATGATATCGTTGATAAAAGTTAGAGTTATTAAACACTGGCAGAAGGAGTCATCTAAACAGTCGATCACGCCTGTCTTAATGAATTACACAGGAACCTATACATAACCATTAACACCTGTTTGGCCTTGTTTAGTAATACCAGTTGGTGTCATGTTAAAAAGGAAATGTGAACACAGGAGAGATTAGTCAAATTTTAGAAAGCAAGAATTGCAAAAGGCTTACATGAATATGCATACATACATTTTATTGGGCCATTGACCAGCACAGCAACACTAAGACTTAGTACCTGTTGTCAGCCAAATGTTTTACACACTGATTTTATTTCTCTTGTACACAGCTGCAAGCAGTGGTGTTATTGGCGAAGTATCAAAAATTGTCAGTGCAAGTACTTAATTCTAATAAATGATAGTATTATTGTGCACCCAGCTATTGCAGAATCACATTCTTCAGTATTAAGTAGAAAACAGACCTGCTGAGAAGATAGAGAAACAATAGGTTTCATTTATTGTATAAACACTTAAGTAAAAGTTACGAGGCTTAAAATACTAACTTTTTTTATCAACAGTAACATAATGTATCTTGACTTTTGCTTTATGCAGAAGGAAGTGACCTCCCTTTAGTGTTTATTTTTACCTACATTTTGGATTACTAATAGGCTACATTAACATAAAGTCAAATTTTAATGGTCTGGCTGTTTATGGTGGTGTTAATTGTAATAATGTTAAATGTAATCATTTAATCTTTAAAAATGTAATTAAGAAGTCTATACAATAACCTAAAAATAATTGGTAAAATTAAGTAACAACATAGTAAATATTCTTAAATTTTACTAGACTTATCTAGGAACATTTAATTAGCCAGTCTTCTCTAGAAATAGATTTTCAGAGCCAAAACAACCGATATTAAAGTCCAACCAATCAGAAGTCAGGGTCGGAACCACTTCCTGAAATGTGCATCACCCAATGAAAATGAGCTGGTCGCATAATTTCCTTATTTTGACGCCACATATCTCGGAAAGTCGACCAACGTTATTGTAGCCGACCCATACACGGAAAGACAAACGAAGGCGTATTTGTCGTTACATGGGCTACTGGGAAATAATGGAAAACACATCAAATAGTCACTCCAAAGTAGTCCCTGAAGTTAAGGAAGACTGCTCAATTTGCTTGGACAAGATTCAAGAGATGAAATCCTTGAAGTGCCTCCACTCTTTTTGCTCAGAATGTATCGACTCGCTTTTCAAGTTTAAGCCTGCTTGTCCAATATGCAACACTTACTACGGAGAGTACACGGGAACCCAGCCGGAAGGCACAATGACGGTGTCCCGCATCTGGCAGCACTTACCTGGCTTTGAAGACTGTGGGACAATTGTCATACAGTACAGCTTCCCAGCAGGGATTCAAGGGGTGAGGCTGACACTTTTAACTGCAGCTATAATCCCCCCATGAGTAGGCGAATAGCATTCATTACCGACAGTTGCATGTGACATGCCAGCTGTCCACCAGTGGGCGCTGTTTGTTTATGATTACAATTCGATAACCCTAATATCTGGATTAAAGATTGGCCATAATCAAAATGCCTCTTCTTCACCTCACAATTAAAGGTCGAAAGGGATTCATTGTAATTGTTCTGTAGCCTACTGTGTTGTAGCCTAAAGAAACATCCATTGTGTAATAGTTATGAGAGTATATACTGTAGGCCTACAAAAAGTGGCCCAAAGGTTAAAAAGGGGAAAGCTTTCTTGGGCCAAGCATAATGGGGGGGGGGGGGGGGGGGTGCAATGCAGCCTGTTTCAAAATGTACTGTAAATGATAGGACCGAACTCAACTGTTCTCTGCATGTGCCCGTTCACTGGGCCTTCAGGGCCTCAGCCATTTAATGTGGGCGGGCCTGAGTATAACATACACATGCTGCTACAAAAGAGGATGACATTTAAGAGGTGCATCCCTTCGTTGGCATAGAAACAGTGTTGAAGTGAAAGGAGGACAACAAATAAGATATGCTATTCAGAGGACACGGTTTAATGAATATTTCCCCCCAACACATATCATTTGTAAGACTATATCTATAGGCTGTAGCCAACTGTTTTAAATGTTACATTATGATAAGGCTATTTCCCATGTCTTGGATAATTTGCTGCAGGGGGATTTTTTTTTTTCATAACTACTGACAAAAATGTTTCTGTTCATATTAATGTCACTCAAAGAGCAGACTTCTTTGAAATCCAACAACTGTTAACTTGGGCTATTTAGATCTTGGGCCTATTTTTAATATTGATCTGTTGATTATTTACTTGTATCTATGTATTTATATTACACAGGAAATTCTTTCTGTGTTTGTTATGTCAAAAACAGTGGGAGAAGTCCTACATGTACACGGTAGCCAGTTCAAGGTTACATAGCTGTAACATATCTTAAAGCTGATACAGCCGAAGAGAGACAAGACTTGTTGGGAGGAGAGAATGGGGGAGATGACATGCAGCAAAGGAGGTTGGATTTGAACCCACTGCCGCTGCGACAAGGACCACAGCCTCTGCGCATGGGCACGTGTCACAACCGCTAGGCTATCGGCACTCCTCCGTTACATAATAACAAAAAAATTATAACCATGAAAAATTAAAAATCATAATGAATAATTATATAGAATTTAAAAAAAAGCAGCTTAGCAGACAAAAAAGATCTGAATGGATTGATTGATTATTTGTTGCCAATTAATTTTCAGTCAGTCACCAAATCAAGTGCCTGAATTTTCTTTAGCTCTCTGAATGCATTTGATATGTGGGAAAAAAAATCTATTTCCAACCCATAATAGAGCATATTTTTATGTTTGAAAAACCAGCCCACATCATAAAGGTGGCAGGAACAACGTGTTTATGTGTGTGTATGAACCAAAAAAGAATACATTAAACAGAGATGTGCCTTAGGGGGTCTAATGGGAGCTATGGGTTTAAAAAAAAAAAGGAAAGGAAGCAGGTATTTCAAATATTCTGCAGGTCACAATTCAGGGAAGAGATGTGTGAGTGGGAGAGGGACACTGAGAAAAAAATGGTTATATTTTTGGATGTTGTGTTACGCTGAAGGCGTCTTTAAGCTTATGATGTGTCTTATGTTTGTGGGAATGCTTTCTGTCGTCGGGAGTATTTCAGATGCAGTATTGTTTCTTTAAGCTACAAAGCTGAGCACTGACTCCTTGTGGCTGTATTAATCTACTTTTATTTTTCATTTGCTACTGTTGAGACAAATCCACAAATCCCTCTTTGTTCAACTTCACTAGAGAGTTATAAGAATGAGCTATAGATCCTAACCTGTAAAAGAGATTTAACGTTACAAAATTTGTCAATGACTTTGTTAATGGTTATGTATTTTAAAATTTGAAGGGAGAATTTTATTTGGATGGATTTTTTTCCCACAAATAGCTTACAACTGTAGATCACCGTATGCAACTTGTTTTATGTAACTTGTTATTGTTTATAATGTCACAGCCTGAGCATCCAAACCCTGGAGTGAGATACAGCAGGACCTCGCGTACAGCCTTCCTGCCAGCCTGTGAGGAGGGTGAAAAAGTCCTGAGACTGCTGAGGAAAGCCTTCGACAGGAGACTGACCTTCACCGTTGGACAATCTGTAACCACTGGCCTCAACAACGTCATCACCTGGAATGACATTCACCACAAGACCAACATGGAAGGTGGTCCACAATGGTAAACACATTATTGTTAGACAGCAGTCCCGTTTATTCCTGTTATTAGTCTTGTTGGATAATGCAGAGGTTGCAACATGCCGGAAAGACAGTAAATTGCAGATTTGAATGAATCCAGATTTGAATGAATGCAAACCCATACATATGCATTGAAGCCTTTTATAACTCAGGTATAAAGAAACAACATTAGGATTCACTTTAGCCATTTAGCCAAGTGCTAATACTAGCATGCTTTCAATGACAGTGCTAAGGTATAACACCTTCCCCAGAGAGAACGTTCACACTCCTCTGACATCTTTGATGGGGGTTTTAACACTGACCCACTCCTAAATTAGACTTGTGACAGGTCAAACGTCTATTTACTCGAGTGGGAGAAGTGAATGTGAGAAAACATTACAGCATATGCTTAGCAGTGCATCGTCTACACCAGAGGTTCCCAAACTTTAAACTCCTGACCAGAGACTGGGAACCCTCACTGTCCCTGGTTGGGTTAAAGCATATAGCGTAGCACACAGCGTTTCCAAACACTGGTTACACAAAAAAAAAAAAACACAAAAGCATTCAACAGCCTAAAAACTATTCAAATATTTTCTATAGTAACTTATTGTAAGAAAGGCTAGAAGCATGATACATGTGGTTTCCATGTATAGACTGTAGCACTGAGTGGACAAACACAGCTTGATAAATAGGTGTGTGTGTCTTTAAGTGTAAAGTTCAGCAGACACTTACTGTACAATGTTGCTGTCATGTGCAATTGCACAATAAAACTAATATTGTTTTCTATTTCGTTTTTTTGCCATGGCAATACTCGTAGTATAGTTTGTAATATATCATCTTTTCTGAACAGTGTTTTTTATTCAGCAAGTAACCAACCTAGTTTCGAGTTTAGTTTGGGAACACTTCCTGTTTGCTTCTATAAAAAGTACATTTGAGAGTGATGAGATTGTGAAGTGATCATTTTTGGTTCTTCTTCTTTTCACATTTCCAGTTTTGGATATCCAGACCCAAAATATTTATTCAGGGTTCAAGAGGAGCTTCGTCTAAAAGGAGTGACCGAGGATGACTGATGGATGAAGACAGTCGCAGCACTTCTTCAAATACTTGAAGTATTGCCTTGTTTTTTAAAATTAAGTTTCTGATTTAAGTTTTGCACTTTTTCTAACTCCAAGTATGGAGTTCAAGTATTTGCACTTTTTAGAGTTATGGAATTATTTTTATTGAGACATGAACGTTTTTTTTTCAACTGACATCATAAAAAAAGATATAATACACATAATGCAATTTGTTTTAAAAAGAAAGATTATGCTGCAGTAGGTGAGTGAAAGGGGTTTTACTTCTGATCGTCAGACTTCAGTCATGTTAACCAGATATCATCTTCTATAAACAGCCTTCACTTGTTTTTCTTTACAATTGACAGAAAAAGATTGTTAAAAACAGATGAAATAATCATGAGGATTAAGTTGAGTAAAACACAAACTGCAACATCAAATATTAAGTTTGTTAGCTGTTTTTTTTATGTATAAAAATGGTTAGTTCAAGTTTCCTAAGGAGATATTGTATATGTATTATAGATAAATGATAGATCAAAGGATATACAACGAACAAAAATATAAACGCAACGCTTTTGTTTTTACTCCAGTTTTTTCACTATCCCTGCTGGCCACAGCCTTTGAACATCTAACAACTTTCTCTTGTCGACATACCTGCTCCACTTCCAACTTCCTTCTTTAATGGGAACGTGTTCCACACCAGTCTGCATGAGAAAAGCCCCTCTGGCCTTCTTGCATGATACCTGCAATCTCTGAATGCCTAAGAGCTCCTGCTTCCTGTACTGCACGTCTTGGGTTCCATTTCCTCCGTCTAGTTTTGGAATTTGGGACCAAATTACTAATTACCACGTCTTTGCTCCCTGATAGCAACAACTCTGTCCTGGCCTTCGCACACTTGAACCAACCTCACAAGCCTTTCCACCTTTGTTACCATCTGTACTTCATAAACTGACAGTGGCCACACAAGTCCAGGGAATTTTCCAAACTGCTAACACTTATTTTATGTAAAAAAAAAGAAAAAGAACAAGGCTTCAGTGCTTTGATTAGTCTCAGTTGTAGGATGATAACTGTAGCCTAAATATTTAATTAAATATCTTCCATGGTCTTATTTTAGACTACAATTCACACAGGATGACAGTGTGGTTTTGCGGTCTCTCTCCATCGTCACCTCTGACTATCTCAGCGTTCTGATTGATCAGAGTTTTATGCAAGTTGATCTCTATCTCGAACATAAAATGCTGCAGAGCAGGTTAGGTGTTCAGCATGAGTTACCATGGCAGTTTATGTCAGTAGAAAGTGAACCACCTTCATAGTACTAAAAAAGACAGAGTTAACCCTGAAGTAACCTTGATTATCACAAACGATGGTCCTTTTTTCCGCAGGATGTTGTAGATTATCCTGCCACCTTTGTGATGTGGACTCTCATACACAACAACATGCTCGAAAAAGGGTTGGAAATAGAGTTTCTTCCACACATCAACCTTTGTTCTTCTGCACATACAGGTCAGTTCAGAACCATGACCAGTTCACATGAGAGTCTGTTACAGGCCACATTTATAAAGTCATGTGAACAGCCAATCAAACAAAAAAAATCTGAATTGAGCATTAAGGCTTGTTATTTGTACGTAGCCTTTTGAAACATTTCAGCTACACCTTTCTAAATAGTTTGCCAGCATCTGTGCAACTTTACTAAGAGAGAATATTACCTTCTGCATTCATTGATATATTTGGAAACTGTAGACTCTTGCACCTTGGCCTTAGGATTCCCCTTGCTCTACACCTCGGCGGTATTATTTGTTACACCCATACCACTCTTAGTAATCTCTACTGAATGTTAGTCCATCAGGTGGACTCCATTTGACTCTGGTTCAGAAGAAGCCTTTGCTCATCTTATAACAGCCTCAACTTCCTTCCACCTAGGTGGCCTAATATCTATATTTAACTCTTTGTTTCCTAACAGATGTAAATCAGGAGGAAGGCCTATTTCTCTGTTCTTTCCTGGATCTGAGTGCGTCTCTTTGAAGTGTTTCTCTACCCCTTGTTTTGATGCTTTCTTGTCCTCCATTTTCTTGGCCTAACATTCATTTAACAAACTTGAAGGAAATTCAATGGATTGCATGTTATTCATTGGAATGTACTTGGTCACTGTAATTTTTAGATTTTATATTTTTAATATACATAATACTGCTTCTGTTCATAGTATATGGTGCAGAGGACCAATCAAGTTAGAAAGTATTCACAGACACAAGCAGAGTTTTGTTTTTGTACTTTTATGGGATATGTTGATCATAATAAAGCCATAAAGAATACTGCTGGTCTTATCCTATAGCACATCCATCATATTCATTATTTACATGGCAGAAGTCAACATACTGTATTAAAAGAATTGTCACTCAAAAGAAGTGTCAGGAGAGACCATGCGTTAAGCTCCATTAGTACAAAAATCAGCGTTTATTTTTTCCAGCCATTGACCACTAGAGGGCGATGCTCTCCTGGAAGAAGCCTACGATAGCGTCCACTTGTTATGCATCTGTATCATCGCTACAGCCCAACAGTGGCACAGCACCTCCCAAAACTCCTCACACTAATCGATGAGAGGAGAAGATCATCCTCTGTAGATGATGAGTCATGTGTTTCTATTATGCTTAGGGAAGTTAGCAGCAGTGACTATCACTTTTTGTATCGTTATCACCTTGTGATTAACTATACTATCATCACTTGGCTTCTAATAGTAGTACACATACTGGTAGAGATTATACATGTACAGATGGATACATTTTCAAAATAAAGGAATAACATTGACAGACAGACACATTTTCAAAATAAAGGTTGATAAAAGCTAAATAATTAAACGATTTCCCAGCAATACCAGTACAAATTAATCAGAACATTTTGCAAGGAGACAGCCACTTCTTTGTCTCAATCCAGCAAAGCAGGCCACACTTTTATTTCTCTTTATATTTGGCCTTATGTTCGGCTCCCATTAACAAATTACAACTGAATCAAAATAATACTACGAGCTGATCTTCTACAACAGTACTGAGTTATAGGACCAGGGAATACCTTTAACCCCTAGTGTTCATATTTCATTAGAAAAAGTGCATATGTGACTAGGCAGCTACTGGCCTGGGCCTCTTTAGCCCATTGGTGATTAGCTGCTGGGGGCATTTCTGTGGCTTATAGGATGCCAGGGCATCTGCTGCTCTCACAGACCAAGACCCATCTGGTCAAACGTAGCATCCTCCCAACCTCCCCCTTCTCGCCTTTTTCTCCCATAATTCATCAACCCAGCCCGAGCATTTCACATCGACATCCCTTTCCTCTCTCAGCCCTTTAACCATTTCCTATTAATTGTCTGTAGTTGACAGGCTTTCTCTCCGATCATTTTCCTTTCTGCTGTTCTGATTGAATGGGAAACACGCACAACTGCATGAACTTTCTGTTCCATATAAGCATGTCGTTTACATAGTGACAGACTGGAGCAATGAACATACTCAGCAGACAGAGAGGATATCTCGCAATATGACGAACATGTCTACAACTTAAAAATCCCCTTTCAGTTCAGTGCATGTAACCTACATTTGAACATAAAGATATAACATGAAGGAGAAGAGCGTTTCCAATAGAAATAAAACCCTCTGATCTGAGTGTATTTCTTCAGGCATGTTTGATTCAAATAAAAATTGTATACCTGATTAAACTAGAAATAAAATGACATGGGCCTCCATTTTTTGATTTGCATATTCTCTAATAATAGTTAAGTTCACGGGTCAAGAATTCATATATAAATTAAATAACCTTTTTGCTTCAGTACCTTTTATGCCCAGCTGGACATAGGGGTGCAGAATTACAGTAATGGAACTAGATATAAGTGTGTATCCATGAATATGTAGAGGAATATTGCGGGTGGATTAATCATGCATCCATTTAAATAGCTAGTGACAAGCCTCCTCTATAAAATGGATTGATGACAGAGTGGGAATGAGGTCTCAGTGTACGGATTAAGATAGATGCTTTTGTAGCTTCTTTGGTTGATTTCCATCAAGCGTTGCTCTAGTCTGCTGTTGCAGGATGACTTTAATATTCTTCTCTCAGGCTCTGAAAATAGAACCCCCGACTCTCTGGGTGTGACTACACAACTGCTCAAGAAACACACAGGAAAATGCATACCCATCAGACAAGAGATGTGCGCTGTTGTGCTACGAGAGATGATAAGAAGATCATCATGTGACAATGCAGAGCTGTTGTTGTCGCCCTTTCTCCCCACTGTGCTCCTTAATTAGAGAGGCTCCGGCTGTGGGGAGAACCCAGGCACATCACCTGCCTGCCTGCCTGCCTGTCTGCCTCCACATCCTCTCATCCTCTGCTGCCACAGGCACCCAATCCCAGACAAACCTGTCTCTCCTGGTGCAGGGCACACTCTGCTCTCTGTCTCCCTTCACTGTAATGAGGATCACCTCCAACAGAAGGAGCCTACTTTTGCATGCCTTTGAAGCTATATGTTTTTCATCTTCACCCTCTTTTAAATACAAATTTGACAGGGATAAAGACGATCTGCTTCATGGAATTAATACTCTTCATGTATCAAAATAATAATGGACAAACATGGATATTTCAGGCTGTTTGTGTGTTAGGCACATGGACAGGAAGAGGCTTTGTGTGACAGATTTTCAGCCCACACCGCTGCACCGCTGACATGCTCATTCACTGGGCCCAAGGCTGTTTGCTTAAGAACAGGGACGTGACTGTGGGTGTGTGGGTGCTTGTACTTCTGTGGCTTTTGTCTGGGTGCCCTTGACTGCATCTGTGCATACAGTACGCAAGGAAAGGCACTAGTGAATACTTGTGTGAGTCTGTGTGTGTGTGTGTGTGTGTGTGTGTGTTTGTCAAGGCAGTTTTTCACATTCTGTTGTCTGATTCGTGGCTGGGGCTACATGGCTTTTTGTCTGCCTGATTTAACATAACAGACTCTTTCTGCTTTCTTTTCTAAGTGACTGACAGATTTACTGACTTCACCAACAGGATACAACAGCAGAGCTGGGCACTTCTTGGCTCAAGCTGTTCGTCATTGCCAACAAAGGCGCTTCTCCTGGATGGGAGAATAGCAGCTCCACCATCTGTCCTCTCTTCAATACATTAAAACAATTTATCTATAGCCTCTACATACTTTATCAGAGTTGTTATCGGTGTATTTATCACACTCATATACATATATTTTGTCTGTATCAAGCACCTGGTAGTCAGATTCATGTTAAAATATTTTCTGGGTGCATTGATAAGAACTAAACTAACCCTTCCTGTCTGCATCCTCAGCCTTGGTATGCACTTCCACACTGCCTGGTGTATGAGCAATTAGCTTTGGCTGTCATGGCAACTAGCCCGACCTTTTTATCGTTTTACAAACAAGAATCTCAACCCAAGGTCAGTCTTTCTTCTGAACATCTGCAGCAGTTGTACGGAGTCTTTTAAGTGGAAAACTGTTTCCTCCACGCCAAGTCTCCACATGTTCTGAAAAGTCTCTTACAAAAGTGATATTGGGGTCATTTGAAGAGTTTTTTTTCTTGGAGCACCATTTATTGTAATGGTGGTAAAGCAAAAAAAACATTTATTTTCATTCAAATGAATCATCAAGTAGGGCGTTTAAGCGAATGTTGAGTACATTCTGTTGTGTACATTTTAAATTAATTCAGAATTGCACATGAAATAAATATCTAATGGATTTCCTGTGTGGATTCCATCGTCATGTATTCACACTTGTACTAGAGAAGGACTTATGCAATCAGTGTTAACATTTGTTTCAATGCTGCCAAGAAAGGGTCATTATTATTTCAACAATGTTCCGAGGAATGATCCTGTGCACAAGCTTTTAAGCCTTCACATTGGATATGGACTATAGCGCATGAAAAATGTGTGCTTGCACAGTTGTAGATTGTATAATGCTTAACCCAAGAATATGCTGTAAAAGCTTCCTCTGCTGCAGCTGCATGGCATCCTTACAGATATTGTGGTTTTGCACAAATATTTTATTCATCCATATGTGATGTAACCTATTTCTTGTTCTAGAGCATTCGTGCAGAGATCCTTAGACGATTAAACCTGCAGATCTACCAGACAAGTAAAGCAATCTCAAACAAGTGAATTATTTTTTTAATGTCTCAAGGTTAAGTGTGGGAAGATGGTTATGTAGCGAGCACCTGTCCTCACCTGTGGTATGTTGATGATGAGACGTCACACTTCCACAGGGCTTAGCTGGAGCTCTTACAATTAACAAACAGAACAGCTGCACCTTATGGCAACAAACAGCACACTCAGCGGTTTATCAGCAGAGTAAACAGAGAGCTTAATCATGTCAGATAATTATAGCAGGAGTTGACTATGTTGTGTGAGTAACCATTGCTGCTGCAGCATGTCCTCCTGTGACACATAAATCAGTGTGAGTCAGAACACATTTACATATTCTTTGCCTAACTGGTGTCCCGGTTTCAGAAAAACATTATTTGTTGGGTTATTACAATCTAGAACAATAACCCACAAGAAGAAATGAAGCAGGCTTAGCAGTGCATATTGGATACATCTCACAAACCCAAGGCACAACAAAAAGAATCTAAGAGTTTATCTCGAGGGAAATTGTTTTCAGATTCAAAATGTAATAATGATAAACTATAAAAGGACACCATACCACCCCACATGATACCATACGGTATGATACCATACAGTATGGTACCATACAGTATGATACCATACCCTGCCATTCACTTTATTGTCATAAAAGAGAAACGTATCTGGGACTCTAATACATATTTTAGTAATAAATTCGAGGGTAATTATTATCAGATTCAAAATGTAAATGATACAATGCAATATATGATATGATACACTGGGATAATGAAAAAATATGAACACATCTGGATACTTTTCTTGCATTCTGTAAGACAAATACTGTACATGCCTAAACCACCAGCACCAGAATGAAATTCCTCGTCTGCCCTCCTAACTCTTTTATTTGCATGATTGAAAATAGTGTTTTTAAAACCATAACGACAATTACTGTGAAATGAAGGAATGATATAAATGATTCAAGACTTTAGTTAAGACAGTGTGGATCCATGAATATTTTGTCTCCCCTCGAGAGCTCTTTGAACATCAAAGGCCATGTCAACAATAAGAGAGTGAGGGAGACACTAAACCTTGAAATAGTAGCAGTGTGGCACACTGATTCCTGTCATAAAAAAAGTGCCTCTAAGCCTTCCACAGTCAGGAAGCAGACAGGCAGCAGAGCAACTGTGGAAAAAAAATGTATATTTACTTATCAAAGGCACTCCCCAAGCATCTGTGAATCAGAAACCCAGGAATATGTGAGTAGGAGAGAAGAGAAACAGGAAGAAGAAGAAACAGCTAGGGGAGGGAGGATACAGACATGAGGGGAGATGAAAATCCTCCACAGGAATAGCTCTGGAGCTGATGTGTTGCATGGTAACAGACTATGCATTCCAGTATGTAGACCATGCATTCATTAAAACTTCACTTTTATCTCAAAGTTCATTCTTTTCCCACTTTTTTCTAAAGGAGTTCGTACATACCTGAACAAGTACATAGCTGATTTTCATGTAGTATAGCTCGTAGGGCTTGATTGTAGAATGAGGACAAAGAATACAGGAAATGTAGGGAAGAGCAAATATTCTTCCTCGCTTGATAAACAGGATCACTGATGTGCAGAGCATTTTTAATCCCTGTCTGTACCATCAATACACCGTATGCAGTAGCTTATACCAACTCTAGAGCCACAGACTCATTTTGGGCGCTGTGTTTTTCAACTCTTGCCTTTGGACGCACTACCAACTCCTCCATGAGAAATTAAGACCAAAATTTCTGATATTCAGATTCCTTTAGCAATGTTCTTTTGCAGTTTGGACCCGAGACGGTGCAAAATATGACAGAACAAAGAAATTGGGAAAAACATGCTTTAAAAAAAGTGATTTGTCATTCATAGGCTTAAAAAAAACATTCCAGGCACACATTCGTGACCTACTGAAAACATGGCAACCCAACTTTGGGTTCCGAGTTTAGAACCACTGTTATACTGGATTGAACTTGTGTACTTGGTAGCAGGTGACAGCAGTTAGTTAAATATAGAACAGTTAAAAACATTTGGCGTTTGATCTTAACAATGAAACCATGCATAGTAGAGTTGGCAGAGGCTGCATGGACACTCAGACTGGCACTGAGTCTAAAGCCATTTCCAGCCAGACTTTGGCCTGCAGGACTGAGAATGTTTACTAAAACTTCTCTACTTCTCTTGTCTCACTGTGTTGCGCCATTGTTTATAGCCTTACTACATGTGCTTCCCAAATCAGTCAGTGATTGAGCCTTGTGTTGTATATCTGCAGCATGTTCTTGACACCCCTAGTATTCTTTGTGATTGAGTAGGTTCAAACTGAAAAGGCATTTGCACAACCAAACCATGTTGAAAATTCTCATGCATTTCACAACCACCTCTTTTGTTCGCCTTTAATAATACTAATACTAAATACTAATAATAATCATTAAGCATGCTTTTACCACAGATGTGATGCCTGTTTCTTGTGGATGTGACCTCTCCCCAATGCAGTGCTTATGTAATCCACCATCAGTTCCCCCCTCTGCGTATGTACATGCAGGAACATCCCTCTAGTGTGTGTATGCTCTGTGCTCTCACAGCTCCCTTGTCACTGAGGA